CTGGGCATAGAATTGATAAGCACTTCATCTACTGAGAAGGAGAAATGATTTTGGTTCAATATTTTGCTATTCACATTCTTTTCTTTGTTATGGATAAAAGATCTTGCTTTAGCACACACATGGATAAATTCACAGAGGGCAGAGAAAGGTAGTTGTTTGTGCTTTGTTCATAGTGAAACTCTAAGGCACTTCTCCCACTCCAGAAGAAAAATGCAAGTATATTTCAAATACCATTCTGTTCGCTGGAGTTAACAATGGTAAATCAATCCTTTTTTTTGGAAAAAAAAATTTGCCAGGAGGGTGGGATTTATGGGGACTTGTCGTATACTACCATTACTATTCTTTCTGGCTTCATTTGGCTGAGTTCTCACATACTGTTTACCTTACTCAGGCAGAACAGTGCAGTGGACTTCAAGGATTTCTGATTTTCCGAAGCTTTGGAGGAGGCACTGGATCAGGCTTTACATCTCTCTTAATGGAACGACTCTCAATAGAATACAGCAGGAAGACTAAGTTGGAGTTCTCTGTCTACCCAGCCCCCAGGATCTCCACTGCTGTAGTGGAGCTATACAATTCCATCCTCACCACCCATTCTACTATAGAATACTCAGACTGTGTCTTCATGGTGGACAATGAGGCCATGTATGACATATGCCATTGTAAGCTTGATGTTGAACGCCCTTCTTACACCAACATTAATAGGCTGATAGGTCAGGTGGTGTCTTCCATTACTGCTTCCCTCCGGTTTAAAGCGTCCTTGAATGTGGACCTAATTGAATTTCAGACCAATCTAGTACCTTATCCAAGAATACATTTCCCCATGACAACCTATGCTCCCCTCATCTCCACTTACAAAGCTTATTATGAGCAGTTCTCCATGCCAGATATTACTTCTGCTTGCTTTCAGTTCTCCAACCAGCTGGTCAAGTGTGCCACTCAGCTAGGGAAGTACATGGCCTGCTGCATACTGTACAGACGGGATGTGGCCCCTAAGGATGTGAATGCTGCAATTGCAGCCATGAAGCCAAGGAATTCTGTCCAGTTTGTAGATTGGTGTCCAACTGGTTTCAAGGTTGGCATCAACAATTAGCGACCCACTGTGGTGCCAGGAGGGGACCTGGCCAAAGTCCAGCAGGCTGTCTGTATGCTGAGCAACACTATGGCAATTGCAGAGGCTTGGGCCCGCCTGGACCACAAGTTTGACCTCATGTATGCCAAGCAGGCATTTCTGCACTGGTACTTTAGAGAAGGCATGGAAGAAGGGGAGTTCATAGAGGCCAGGGAAGATTTGGCAGCCCTGGAAAAGGATTATGAGGAAGTGGGGCAAAGTTTTTGATGCAAGCATGACTGATGGAAATAAATGCTAGGC